CCCCAAAACCCCAAAACCCCAAAACCCCTTAAGGATAATAACTGATAAAACGTTCAAAATCATAATCAAATTAATAGATGTAATATTATTATCATTTACTTCTTATATTATAGTTAAAGCAATCATTATATTGATAAATGAGAAAATATCTTTATTATAATGATCATTGATTCAAAAACTGGGATCTGGGCATAATACTCCTAAATGCCAAACGTTAATGACTAGCAATCCTAAGTTTCAAATTGCTTGTTTATTCATTGACATGGCATAATTCTTTTTGAAATGGTATCTGCTAAATATTATTGTTATAGTGATAGTCATTTTACTCCTCGTTGATTAACTGATCTATTTTATTATTTAACTTGTTTTAGGGAAAATTTTATTGTTCATTGGTTAGTAACTTATCATCTTTTATTCGCTAGTCTTCATCCTAAATTTGATTCAATTTTACTCTAGATAGAGTTGGAAATTGTTTTTTGGCCTAAAAACCTCTATTTAAAAACTTAAAGGGAGAAGAATAGTCTAGAAAAGTGGAACTGCATTAGTCTCTACTCTTCTAATAAAGAAGGCCATTATTTTTAGAAACTAATATATTGCTAATTATTTCCTATCTCTCAAGATCTTTTTTCTCGAAGTAATTCTTAACATAGTCTTTGATTTACGAAGTTTTTTTGCATTTAAGCCTGGATTTTTCAAAAAATTAAGAAGAGAAAGCACTACGATTAGCTTCTTCTAAGAGATCATAATTCGAATAATAGTTGTTCTGTCTTTTAAGCTGAAAAGAATTACTAAATACTTAGGCCTGATTCTAATCCTTTTATTTAGTATAATGGTGAAACTGGGAATGCTTAGGCGTATTATCAAATGAACTTTATATACTCCTTAACCCGATAGGTTACTTCAAGTTCCTTTTTTGGATCTTCTGTTGCCTTATCGTCTTGAATTAATTCTGATTTTATTACTATTAAATCTCTACCTTGGTTAGTTAAATTTCTTACTCTCTTTTTGATTTATGCCTAAAATGTTCAATAATATTCTATTTGTGCTAATCCAAGTCTTCTTCACTTTATGAATCAGAAAGTAATAACTATGAAAGCTTTTATGAATTTATGATGCTTTTCTAATTTTTCTCCTACTAATATTTGCTATTATTTGCATTAATGTTTGTGTCCGACAAAGAAGTGGATGAAGAATTAGAGTATGATTCTGATGAATATAAAATTTTCCCTTTATAATGCAGAGTCTTTTCCTGAGATTTAAATCTATCTCTAAGCTTAAACCCAGTCTTTTTGAATGTAAATCTTGAGTAGTCTGTAGGATTATGACTATTATCTTTTCCAATTTTTCTTACAGCAGTTCTCTGGTGTATTGACTCTTAGGCAATCGATTATTATAATTCTTCGATTAATTAATCAACGTCTACTCTCATCCTGTGATCATTAATTATGCTACTCTTTGACCTTAATCTACCTTAGTCTTAATGATTTGTTTATTTTGGTTAAGATTTATTTTTTTTGGACATTTTCATGCTTACTTTGATTTACAGTATTGTTATAATTTATAACCTTGAATTATTTGTATATGTATATGTATCGTTTGCTAGTTTATTCTTAGTTGTTATCACTAATAATATAATGAAATATTGAAATATTGGTATATTGATTAATTAATCTATCTACTTTATTTATAATTACTAAGTTGATAAAATCTACTCTTGTGGGGTTTTGGGGTTTTGGGG